AGCCAATGAAGCTGATGTACATTGTCTAAGACTTTTGTACTCAAAACAACAAAAAGACTTGAATACCAATCAGCTTTATCTTCACCGTTAGTCAACATCAAGGAGTCATACCATCTGCCTTCCTGATGTTTGGGAATAAATAATTCTTTGTTGAGAGGGCTGTGCTCTGTGTTGCAAAATGTTCAGCAGAACCCCTGGCCTCCACCCATTAGGTGCCCACCCAAGGCCCACTTGGGACCAAGAAAAATGTCCCCAGACATTGTCAAATGCCTCCTGGGGAACAAGATTACCTTGGTGTGAACCACTGATTTATACCCACTAATTTCTTTAATTTTAATTTCTGCGATAAAAATTCTAAAAAAAATTAAAGAAACTCTTTAAGATATGCTTAAAATAACTTAAACATATATTTAAATACTTCAAAACCACTCAAGAACTATGTCAAGATCAATGATGCAGTAGGAGGGCTGAGCATTCCTATTTCATGTATAATGAAACAAATTTCATAATGAGCAGACGCAAAAATGGGTATCAGTGGTAAGCAAAGTCTGAAACTGTTAAGATTCAAAGCAAGATTAGTTTCAGCATCTTAAATGTCTTGCTTCTAAAGCACTAAAACAAGCTTTTATATGCAAAGCAGACTCTGATCGAATCAAAAAAATGGAAAAGGCACTTGTTCTCCTCCTTTTACATGAAATCCCTTGTAATTCTAATGTATGGATCTCAGAATGCATTCTGTGTCATCCTGAATGTAACCTCTGTGAACATCAGTACTTCTGTGCCAGGAATGTATTTCTTTTCTCACTTTCCACTCCATTCCCCAAATCAGTAGAACCAGTGATTTCACTCCTTATCAACTCACTCTTTCCCACTTATTTCCAGTTAGGTGGTGTGTAAACTCAGTCTAAGTCCCAAAGTCTCAAGTGGTGGCCAAAAGAAATAAACTTCATCAGATGCGGTGGCTCATGCTTGTAATCCCAATACTTTGGGAGGCTAAGGCAGGGAGATTACCTCAGGTCAGGAGTTCAGAGCAGCCTAGCCAACACGGTGAAACCCCCTCACCACTAAAAATACAAAAATTAGCCAGGCATGGTGGTGGGCACTTGTAATCCCAGCTACTTGGGAGGCAGAGGCAGGAGAATGGCTTGAATCCAGAAGGCAGAGGGTGCAGTAGCTGAGATGGCACCACCACACTCCAGCCTGGAGTGACTCTGTCTCAAATAAAAACAAAAAGAATATTCATGAAAAGGAGAACAAGAAAGAGGGAATAAGATGTTTTGGTATAGACTCTACTACAAGGGGCAGGAAAGGGGACTCTCAGGAATGAAAGTGTAGAACTACCAAGGCCTCCTCTTGAAAAATACTCACCAGAACATTTTTTTCTTATTGTACAGGTAACGAATACATTATAGGATTTCTGGTGGCTAAAAAAAGGAATGTAAAAGAAAATACAATTATTTCACTTTTTTGCATAGTATCACCCATGTGACATACATTGTTTGGGTTTGCCTATTTTTGACTTTTATAAACACAGAATCCACTGTATATATTCTTTTGTGATTTGGTATTTTCAATCAACATGAAATTTTAAGATTCATCTGTATTAGTGCTTGTAAAAAATCATTTTCACCACTGCTTAATATTCTACTCTAAGAATACACCACATTTACTTATGTATTTTACTGTTGATTTCAGTTGTTTCTAGCATTACGTATTACAGATAAGGCTTCCACAATTGTTTGCATGTGCCCATTGAAGCATATGTTCAAGAGTTTTTCTTAGGGTGAAAATGCTGGATTTTAGGTGATGTGCTTCTCCAAATGACTGTATAATGTCAAAACATTTCTTACATTGTTTTTACCATTAAATTCCTACCAAATCACCATCCTTATTAACACTTGAAATTGATAAGCATTTTAATATTCACCAGTCTGATGGTATGTGATAGGGTTTGGCTGTGTCCCCACACAAATATCACCTTGAATTGCAATCATCCGCATGTGTCAAGGGCAGGGCCAGGTGGAGATAATTGAATCATAGGGGTGGTCTCTCCCCCCCATACTGTTCTCGTGGTAGTGAATAAGTCTCACAAGATCTGATGGCTTTATAAAGGGGATTTCCCCTGCACAAGCTCTCTTGCCGGCTGCCATGTAAGACATGACTGTTCCTCATTCACCTTCCACCATGATTGTGAGGCCTCCCCAGCCATGCTGAACTGTGAGTCAATTAAACCTCTTTCCTTTATAAATTATCCAGTTTTGGGTATAGCTTTATTAGCAATGTGAGAACAAACTACTACAGTATGAAAAGGTAGCTCATTTCATGGTTTTAATTTGCCTTTCCATGATTACTAAAAAAGTTGAAATCTCATATTTGAATTAATATTTGTGCTTCCCCTTTGGTCAGAATTTTAGCCATTTTAAATTTCATTATTTTTCTTCATTTTATTATTCATATCTGTGTGTATATGTCCATTCAATAGATAGTAATTCTTTTTCCAGTTATATATATGTTCATGGTATGTGTGCATGTGTTTGTGTGTGTGTATGTGTGTGTGTGTGTGTGTGTGTGTGTGCGTGTGTGTGTACCAGTTAGTGCTCTGTCTTTTTAAGGTCCTTTATTACTTATGTAGGTATTGAAGCTCAGCTATAATTTCCAGATTCCAGGTGAAGAGAGAGGAAGAAGGGGAAACCAAAGGATCACCCTGACTGAGGCAGCACCCTTTAAGGATCTTCCTCAAAATCCCAGTGCATTTCCACTCATATCCCATTGCCTAGGATTATTCTCAGGACCACAGCCAGACAAAAGAAGGATGGGAGATGGATTCATATAACTAGGCACTACTATTCCTAAAGAAATCCAGTCTCTGTTGCTAAGGAAGAAAAGGAACCTAGATATTGAATAGCAATTAGTTTGACTTCCGCCAAACTGACTGATTTTCCTGATTTTAGCTAATTTTAACAACTGTTGCCTAACACTTTTCTTCCCAATGGTGTTAAGATACTGTCTTTGTTATTTATTTACATGTTTTCTATAGCAAACCTATAAGACACTATTCTGTTTCATTTGTCTGTATGTTTTCTTAATACTGGCATATTGACTTTTTATTGTAATTTATAGTAAGATTTTGCTTGGGGAGCAGGTTAATTCAATATCATTATTTCCTTCCTTCAGTTTTTCTTGATTATTTTCACTTATTATTTTTTCTATATAGTACAAGATCATGTTAATAAATTACAAAGAAAATTCTTGGATTTTATTAAAATGCTTTAAATCTTTTTTAAGTCTTCCTATCCAAATATAAACTACTCCATTTATTTAATTCTTAGAATCACAAATTCATATGTCTTGTGTATTTTTGATGGAACATTATTTCTACATATTTTATGATTTTTTGATAATATTAATAGAGATTTGTTTCTTGTATTTTAAATTATTGGTGATATATGTGAAAAATAGATGTATTTTAATACATTTGTTCATACCCATTTACTTTTCTTTCTCTCCTATGCATTCTGAAAGAGTGTCCATGATTTATTTGGGGTGATTTGCATATCCCACAAGTCATTATAACTTTTTCTACTTTTTGTAAGGATAGTTAAGTTTTATGAATTAATGCATTGGCCACATCTTCCAGAATGCTGTAAATTAATCGTTATGATAATGTGCTCATTATTCTAGGACAGGATTTTAGTAACAATGGTTCTAGTTTGCACAGTTAAATATGCTGCTGACTGTTGCTTTGAGAAATATGTTATGTTTCTGAGATGTATGCTTCCATTCCTTTCTTTTTAAAAAGGAAATGGTTTTTGAATTTAATTGCATGCCTTTTCCTAAATACAGATAAATATTTCTGATATGACTTGTTAAACATGTTATATTATCTTAAACTCTGATGATGTTTTTGCTTGTAGTGAATTATTTTATTACCTGTTAAAAATCTAGTGTTCTATAGTTTGGTGGGACTTCTGGAGAAATTTTTGAGCTATCAGTTAACTTTGGTCAACAGTTATATTTGTGTGTGTGATAAAGAAAGAAGCACTGGAAGCATACTTCTCAAAAACATCTGAGGTAGGGAGTTTGAGACGAGCCTGACCAGCCTGTGGGGACAGGCCACAGCACTGACTCTAGAAAAGATAGAGAATGAGAAGGAGCTGTTTCAGGATTCATTAACAGAATTTTTCTGACTTCGTCAAATAAATTGAGTTGGTCTAAATTGGTCTGCATTTTTCTATGTTCTTAGATTCTTTTTTTCTTTTAAGACGGAGTTTCGCTCTTGTTACCCAGGCTGGAGTGCAATGGCACAATCTCGGCTCACCGCAACCTCGGCCTCCTGGGTTCAGGCAATTCTCCTGCCTCAGCCTCCTGAGTAGCTGGGATTACAGGCACGCGCCACCATGCCCAGCTAATTTTTTGTGTCTTTAGTAGAGACAGGGTTTCACCATGTTGACCAGGATGGTCTCGATATCTTGACCTCGTGATCCACCCGCCTCGGCCTCCCAAAGTGCTGGGATTATAGGCTTGAGGCACCGCGCCCTGTTCTTAGATTCTTTATGAAAAGTAGAAGTTACATCCTTGAGGATTTGAAAAACTCACCTAAAAATAATTAGTTCCTAAACTGTTCTGGGAGATAATGCTTTGATAATGTTTTTAAGAATGTCCAAGATAATTGAATTGTTTGTGATTTCTACTTTTTCTAATGTCAGTTTTGATAATACACATTTTCCATCAGCACATTTTAGCCCAGGCCCAAATACCCATCCTTTTTCTCCCTGTAGTTTACTTCCCTTTGTATTGCTGCCTACAATTGCCTTCTTCTCTTGGTCAACTGCATACACAAGTCTTAATTTTCTCCTATCCTCCTGACCCTGTGGTTTCTCAAGAGCTTTTACAGCTTTCAAAATGGAAGTAACAATGGAAGTAAGAAGCTGGAAGTAAACTATTTTTGCTTGACAGTCTCATTTCTTTTTTATCCTTACATCTGTGTTTTTCTAACCTATAGGTTAAGAACAATATCAGCAAAGTTTCGAGCTGAATCTAAACTTTTGGTGGTATCCAAGACTAAGGTTAGAATTGATCTGTGTGTCATGGGACAAACAAATTTACTCGAGATCCTGGGCTTTTCATTATTGATGTTGGGCTGTGCTCTCTACTCAACACACACACACACACACACACACCATTCAGATTTCAAATTTTAATCTAATCTGTTGTAGTCATAACTGATTCCGTCTTCAGGTCCTATATATGATGTTAGGGGACTGCTCTGTGCATTTGCTCTTCTTTCTTACTCCCAGGAATCACTGTATACCTCAGAACTGGTTTGAAGAGCTAAGAAAAGGAGTACAGTGAAGAAGAAAACAATGGTAAGCTTTGTGGAATATCCGTTGTGTTGAAGGGAGGCAGGGGGTATAAAACTGGGAAAGGAGGAGAATAAAAATTCTGATAGCCTCCAGGTCTTCCAAAAGTAGTAGTTATTTGAGGCTCTTTTTTAAAATATAAGGGAAATAGGTAGATGTGTAACAATATCTATGCATCAAGCCACTTGTGGAGATATATATAAATACATACATATATGTCTCTCTAGCTAGCTGGCTAGATTGATATAGCCACACGTAGGTCTATATTGCCATATAGAGATCTATGTATTCTGAGTCCAGTGATCTGCTGTGTAGCTCTGGATCCTGTATTTCTGAAAGTGTCCGACGGGGCAATTAATGAGAACTGCTACAGAATAAGCGTTCTGGGGTAGAACCCAAGCCCTACTCTTTCTTTTAACCTTAGAAGTTTTAAAATGTTCTTTTTTTTACCCTTTTAAGATTTAAAGTTCAGTGGTTTCCAGAATATTTACAGAGTCGGACAACTATCACCACAATCAATTTTAGATCATTTCCATTGCCCCAAAAAGAAACCCCACATCTCTTAGTCACCACCCCCCAATTTCCCCTCCCTTCATCCAGGATTAAGCAACCACCAATCTACTTTGTTTCTACAAATTTGCCTATTCTGCCTTTTTTTTTTTTTTCAGATGGAGTCTTGCTCTGTGGCCAGGCTGGAGTGAAGTGGTGCAATCTCAGCTGACTGCAACCTTTGCCTCCCAGGTTCAACCAATTCTCCCCCCTTAACCTCCCAAGTACCTGGGATTACAGGCATGTGCTACCATGTCCAGCTAATTTTTGTATTTTCAGTAGAGATGAGGTTTCACCATATTGGCCAGGATGGTCTCGATCTCCTGACCTCATGATCTGCCCACCTCAGCCTCCCAAAGTGCTGGAATTGCAGGCGTGAGCCACCATGCCAGGCCTATTATGCACTTTTTTTAGAATTTGAATCACTTTTTATATAATTTGAATACAATATGGAGTATTTTATGACTTCTTTCATGTCACAGGTTCTCAGGGTTCATCCATGTTGTAGCATGCATCAATACTTCATATTTTTTATTGCCAAAGAATATTTCATGTGTATGTTTATATACAACATTTTCTTTATACATTCATTCATCAGTTGATGGACATTTGACTTTTTCCCATTTGACTATTATGAATAAGGCTGCTATGAATATTCATGCACAAATGTTTATATGGACATGTGTCTTTATTTCTCTTGGGTGTATATCTAGGAGTGGAATTGCCATATCATATAACAACTCTGTGTTTGACCTTTTAAACAACTATCAGACTCTTCTCCACGGTAGCTGCATCACTGACACTCCCACAGCTGAGGTTATCTCCAGCTCTTAACATAGTATCTGGTGAACAGAACATTCTCAAAACATATTTGTAGAAGGCCAGAAGGAAAGGAAGGACAGGGCAATCAACATTTACAAGTGAGTGCTGGCTGTGAAAAGTTGAGTTTAGAGAGAATCCTGATCATAGCTTCCCCAGCATGGGATAGGGGACAGGCCACAGTGCTGACTCCAGGAATGACACGATGGCTTCATGCATGCCATCCTGCTCTGATTCAAAGTGTCCTTTTTCTCTTTAATCCTCAGCTTTCTGCTTTAGTTTCTTGGGATCATATCTGATATAGGTAAGCAGGAATGTCCAGGCCTCTTGGGACTTTTGTTGTGCCAGTAATTCCCAACACAACTGAAAGTCAGTCTCCTCTCTCTGTCTCCCTCTCCTCTGTCTCTCTCTCTCTCTGTCTCTCTCTCTCTCCTCTCTCTCTCTCTCTCTCTCTCTCTCTGTCTCACACACACACACACACACACACACACTGTGATTGTACTAGTCCATTTTTTGTGTTGCTACAGAGGAATACTTGAGGTGGGATAAGTTATAAAGAAAAGAGGTGGCTGGGTGCGGTGACTCATGCCTGTAATCCCAGCAATTTGGGAGGCAGAGGTGGGCAGGTCATCTGAGGTAGGGAGTTCGAGACCAGCCTGACCAACAAGGAGAAACCCCATCTCTACTAAAAATACAAAATTAGCCGGGCTTGATGGTGCATACCTGTAATTCTAGCTAGTCAGAAGGCTGAGGCAGGAGAATCACTTAAACCTGGAAGGTGGAGGTTGTAGCGAGCCAAGATTGTGCCATTGCACTCCAGTCTGGGTAACAAGAGTGAAACTGTCAAAAAGAAAGAAAGAAAGAGAGGAAGGAAGGAAGGAAGGAAGGAAGGAGGGAGGGAGGGAGGGAGGGAGGGAGGGAGGGAGGGAGGGAGGAAGGAAGGAGGAAGGAGGGAGGGAGGGAAGGAAGGAAGGAAGGAAGGAAGGAAGGAGGGAGGGAGGGAGGGAGGGAGGGAGGGAGGGGGGAGGGAGGGAGGGAGGGAAGGAAGGAAGGAAGGAAGGAAGGAAGGAAGGAAGGAAGGAAGGAAGGAAGGAAGGAAGGAAGGAGAAAAGAAAAGATGTCTATTTGGATTGTGGTTCTGCAGGATGTACAACCATGGCCTCAGCCTCTGCACTTGTGAGTCCTCAGGAAGCTTTCACTTATGGCAGAAGGTGAAGGGTAGCAGGAATCACATGATGAGAGAGAAAGGAAGAGAGGAAGCAGAAGGTGTCAGGCTTTCTTTAACAATCAGATCTCTCAGAAAACTCACTGATCACCATAAGGACAACACCAAGCCATTCATGACAGATCCACCCCCATGACCCAAACACCTCCCACTAGGCCCCACCTCCAACATCAGGGATCCCATTTCAATATGTGATTTGGAGGAAATGAATAACCAAACCATTTCAGTAATAAAAGTTGTTGAGCTCATGAACATGTAGCAATGCATCGAGAAACAAACATGGGAGCAACCTGGCCCTATCTGTGTGCTCTGCTTCTTCTGAAGCCCGTTCCAGGGTAGGTAGCTGACATCCCTCCCTCCCCTTGGTCTAGACTCAGTGGGAGGCCAGAACCTTGCTGATATAGTTTGGCTGTGTCCCCACCCAAATCTCATCTTGAATTGTAGCTCCCACAATTCCCACATGTAGGAGGGAGTGGGTAAGAGATAACTAAATCACAGGGGCAGGTCTTTCGCATGTATTTCTGTGAAAGTGAATAAGTCTCATGATATCTGATGGTTTTATAAAGGGGAGTTTCCCTACACAAGCTCCCTTCTTTTGTCTGCCGCCACGTAAGACATGCCTTTCACCTTCTGCCACTATAGTGAGGCCTCCCCAGCCACATGGAACTGTGAGTCCATTAAACCTCTTTCTTTTGTAAATTGACGAATCTTGGGTATATCTTTATCAGCAGCATGAGAACAGACTAATATACTCACTATGTCTCATTAGGAGAAAACTGGATGCCAGGAAAACAGCTACCAGCAGCTTTATGTTTTATCACACGAATTCTCACACCCCCAGCAATGGAGTGTGTCTATACGACAGCCCCTAATTACATAAGATCATAAGTTATAGTGACAGTGGAGAGTGGGCCTGACCTATTCAGCCAAAAACAATGAGGACCAACCCTGAGGTGGTGGGTGATGGGCCAGCTCCTCCGGGATGGGGTGTCACTGGGAATGCAGATTTGAGTTCCCACCTCTGAACTGTTTTCACTCACAATACTTTTGACACCAGATGTGTGAAGTTTTTCCTCACACCAATTAATTCTCCAACTCTCTGGACACGAGCTAGGTGTCCTACAACTCAATGCAATTCTGACACTAACTACCTGGAGTTAGTACAGGCCCCACAGGTCAAGGGCTCAGTCCCATGAGACTGCCTACCCCCAAACCCCCACCATGCTTCAGATGCCAATTGCAGGTCTAAGCCACTCATACTCCTGACAAACCAGCTACAAAGTCAGAGGCTGCTCACAACTCCCTCCTCAATTTTGCTAGAGTGGCTCACAAAAGCCAGGAAAACACTTTATTCACATTTACCTTTTTATTATAAAGGATACAACTCAGAAACAGGTAAATGGAATGGCCACCTAGAGCAAGATGAGGGATGGGTGCAGAGCTTCCATGACCCCTCAGGGCATGGCACCCTCCCAGCACGTCTGTCTGTTCGCCAATCTGGATGCTCTCTGAACTCTGTTGTTCAGGGTTTTTGCAGAGGTTCCATTACATGACTTGATTGACTAATCATTGTCCATAAGCCATTAACTCAATCCCCAGCCCTTCTCCCTTCCCTTGAGCTCAGGAGGTGGTGAAAGTGCCAACCTGCAAAGCCTGTGGTTGGCTCCTCTGGTAACCAGGCCCTGTCCTGAAGCCTTGTAGGGAGGCCAGCCACCAGCCATCTCATTAACATATTAAAACTCAGATAAAGGGGCTTTCTGTAAATAACAACAACAAAAAAATGGTCTTCTCACCTCTATCACTCAGCAAATTACAAGAGTTTCGGGAGCTCTGTGTCAGAAACTGCAGACAAGGACCTATTACATTATTTTTTACAGCCACCCTTGCTGGAACTCCAGGCTCATCTTTCTCCATTACCTTCCCAATATTCCACCATCCAGCATTACCCAGTGGTTTCCAGTTTCTGTTGCCTCTGCCTACAACCCTGTCTCCATCACCACCATCTGATGAGTCTGCCTTAGCTCTCAGCTTAGAGGCTTCACTTCCTCCTGAGGTTGCTTTCTCCCAAGGTCTGTCCTACAATCTGCTCTCGGGTGTTATGCATCAGTCCCTATTTCACTCGGTCATGCTCCATTGCATTTGCTGGTTTGTCTGCCTTCCTCCTGAGATGGAAAGTTCCATGGTGGGTGGGGGGGTACCTGACAGTGGTTGTTCGTCATTACATCCTTGGTGCTCAGCAGAGCGAATACCACCTGGTAGGAATTCAGTAAGTATTTGCTGAATGAATGAATGATGTTCTTTTCCAGTTAAAAACAGACTGAGAGCATCCAATCTATGGGAAACACCAGAAAGGGCCATCACAGAACCCAGAGGAGAAAATAACAGACCCCTGTGTCACGAGTATCACATTCAGATCTCCATAAATAAAGGCTCCTTCACATCTGGAATTAATCAGACCAAAGACAAGTTTTCTGTTTTTATAAATGAAACACTGTCAAAATGGTTTATTGCCATAAATAGGCGAAATTAGATCTTGCCCCTTGTATTAGTTTTTTCACATGGCTATAAAGAACTGCCCAAGGCTGCGTAATTTAAAAAGGAAAGAAGCTTAATTGACTCACAGTTATGTATGACTGGAAGGCCTCAGAAAACTTACAATCATGGCAGAAGGTGAAGGGGAAGAACACGCCTTCTTCACATGGCAGCAGGAAAGAGCCAACAGTGAGTGAAGGGGCAAGAGCCCCTCACGAAACCATCAGATCTCATGAGAGTGCCCTCATGGGAAACTGCCCCCATCATCCAATAACCTGGCACCAGGCTTGTCCCTCAACATGTGGGATTGCAACTCAAGATGAGATTTGGGTGGGGACACAGAGTCAAACCATGTCACCACTGGAGTGCCACAGAGAGGTCACAGGTGTGGTATCGATCCCTTCAGTTCCTAGGTGGTGCAGGAGAAGAAGAGGGGAGAAGCCTGGATTGGACCTATATAAATAAAGAAGCCTTCATTTATAGAGGTCAGAATGTGACACTGGTGACACCAAGGTCTGCTATTTTCTCCTCTGGGTCCTGTGATGGCACTTGCTGGTGTTTCCAATAGAGGTGATGTGCTCAGTGTGCTTTTAACTGGAAAGGAACATCATTCATTCGTTCAACAAATAATTACTGAACTCCTTATTGAAGAGGGGAGATGCCAGGGGTAGCTGGACCCTCATCCCAGGGCCACTGGCCATGTGCAGCCTCATCTATTTGTCCCAGTGTGTCCTGCAGAAGTTAGCATGGGGCATCTGGAGTGGGTTTGCACAAGCTTGCAAACATTGATGGCCACTATGTCAGCAAATAATCTGTACTGTAATTATTTCTTACTATTTTTAGCCATTAGTACTTCTTAAATAGGTATGTTTTTAGGCAGGAAGTCAAGGGAAGCACTGTATTTTCAGGCTCTGCAGACCCCCCTGGAAACTGGGGCCATTTTCAATTTTTAAAAAAGAAGAGAAAATGAGCATATATTAGTGGTAGTAGTACACCATGACTCTTAGACATTTTAACAGGAAATTTAGTGGTAGAATTCGTAGTGGTCGTTGTGGTAAGAATAGTAATTAGTCGTAGTAGAAGTAGTAACCATATTTCCAAGGCAAAAAATAAATAGGATTAAATATCTGTATTAGTCAGGGTTTTCTAGAGGGACAAAACTAATAGGATAGCTGTATATATAAAGGCGAGTTTATTAGGGAGTACTGACTTGCACGATCACGAGGTCCCACAGCAGGCTGTCTGCAGGCTGAGGAGCAAAGAAGCCAGTTCGAGTTCCAAAGCTGAAAAACCTGGAGTCCGATGTTCAAGGGCAGGAAGCATCCAGCACGAGAGAAAGACATAGGCCGGAAAACTAAGCCAGTCTCTTCTTTCCACATTCTTCTCCCTGCTTGTATTCTAGCTGTGCTGGGAGCTGATTAGATGGTGCCCACCCAGGTTGA